AATTTGTTTCAAGGAGTACCAATGACATTTGTTGCATAACACTGTAATATTTAGGGACTGTAGTAAGGGTCATTTGGTTGCAAAGATGGTTGAATGCTGGTCTTTCAATAAAGGAAAAGCAATTGAAACCTTCATTTTAGCCGAGTGAGTAAATTAGAATACCAAAATAAGCCTATATGAGACTACCAAGAGGAGCCTAATATATCACCTTCTCATTTTATATAGCAGTTATGTTGTAGAAAATGTTACATTATTTTTTTTTATTAAATTGATGTACATATTTAGTCGGATAGACTAGAATAGATGCAGTTAGTTGTAGATAAGCTTGTAGTTATCAAGATCATATTTTTTAGGATCTGTACTAGCTAGTTGTTATCTGTACAAAGTGTATTTATACCCTGGCCGTGTGGCTTATTCAATCAAGGAAATTTTATTCCTAAAACTTACATGGTATCAGAGCCAGCCGTTTAAACACCACAATGGTGGAAACCGAGCACTCTGACTCTTCTCCCCACTCACAAACCCATAACCCTAACTCCCAAAATAGCTTCATGACAAACTACCAGACCTCAGCTCATTCATCTATGCTCATTGCTGGACATAGATTGAATGGCACAAATTATCTCAAATGGTCACAGTCTGTCAAGCTGGAAATTGATGGAAGGGGCAAGCGAGGGTACATAACTCGTGAAATAAAGGAGAAACAAACTGGTGATGATGGCTATCGTATCTGGAGGACAGAAAATTCCTTGGTGACTGTCTGGCTTCTCAGTTCAATGGATGCATCAATTGCCAAATCTCACATGTTCATGAAAACTGCAATGGAGGTATGGGATTCAATTAAGGAAACTTACTCAGATCTTGAGAACTCTTCTCAGATTTTGAATTAAAAACCAAGTTGTGGCAGTCCAGACAAGGAAATAGAGATGTCATCTCTTACTATAATGAGATGGTATCCCTATGGCAAGAGTTGGATCAATGCTATGATGATGAGAAGTGGGAGAGTGCCAAGGATCAAGCAAGATACAAAAAAAAGGAGGAAAATGATGGGGTCTATATGTTCCTAGCAGGAATTAATAGAGACTCAGATGAAGTTAAGTGAAGAATACTTGGAAAAAACCTCTACCCTCCATCAGGGATGTATTTTCTGAAATCAGGATGGAAGACAGTAGGAAGAAAGTTATGTACAACACTTCAGCAATGGTGGCTAGGAGTGATGACAAGAAAAAATCCTGATGTGATCACTGCAAGAAATTATGGCACACTAGGGAGACTTGTTGGAAAATTCAAGACAAACCACCCAGGAGCAGGAAAGAAAAAAGTTGAGAAGGTCGTACAAACAACTGTGACTGAGACTCAACAAGAACCACAAGTCAAGTTCAATCAGCCTTCATTCACTCAGGAGCAGATAGAGCAACTTCTTACCCTCCTACATTCCCAGAAACCCCAAAATTCCCAAAAAGAATCTTCCTTTTGTTCTTATGCCCAAAATGGTACCTATTCAACATTTTTTTGTTCTGGGAAATCTAAAAATTCCTGGGTTATTGACTCAGGGGCTACTGACCACGTGACCTCTATTTCAAATCTTTTTTCTTCATATAAACCTAGTGCAGGAGATAAAAAGGTTAAGGTTGCAGATGGTTCTTTATCAGCCATTGCAGGGATGGGAAATATTAGTATTTCCTCATCTCTAAATCTATCCAAAGTCCTTCATGTCCCTAATATATCCTGCAATCTTGCTTCAGTTAGTCAAATAACTAAAGATCTACACTGGTGTGTTATTTTTTATCCTTCTTATTGCATTTTTCAGGACCTGGCATCGGGGAAGATGATTGGCAGTGCTAAGGAGGAGGATGGACTCTATATCTTTGATGGAGAAACTCAATCAAATAAAAGAGGTCCAAGAAATGCTTCTTTGCAAACTGTTTCTTTTTCAAATATTAAAGATTTGTATTTACTTCATTATAGACTAGGACACCCTAGCTTCTATTATTTAAAAAGGATGTTTCCTCAATTATTTCTGAATAAAGATGCTTCTTTGTTTAATTGTGATATGTGTGCACTTGCAAAACATCACAGAAACACTTATTTACCCCACAGTTATAAACCTACTAGTCCTTTTACCTTGGTACATAGTGAGATTTGGGGTCCATCTAGAATACCAACTTTAAAGAGAAAGATATGGTTTGTAACTATTATTGATGATCATGCACGAGTCACATGGGTATTTTTAATCAAAGAAAAATCTGAAGTTGAGAAAATATTTAGGGAATTTTATGCTATGGTCCAAACTCAATTCAATCATTTTTTTTTCATTTTCATTTACCCCAGTCCCAAAATCAATTCAATACCAAAATTAAAATGGTAAGAAGTGATAATGGCCGTGAATATTTTTCTCAAACTTTGAACAATTTTTTTACTCAAAAATGCATTATCCATCAAAGCTCTTGTGTCAATACACCAGCTCAAAATGGACTTGCAGAAAGGAAAAATAGGCATTTGCTTGAAGTCACTCGTGCAATCATGTTTTCAACAAACATACCAAAATATTTGTGGGGAGAGGTTGTGTTACATGCTACGTATTTAATTAATCACATGTCATCCAAAACTTTAGGATTTAAAAGTCCTATGAGTTCACTACAACACTTCTTTCCTACAAATAGATTGGTAAACACCCTTCCTTCAAAATCCTGATAGATCTGCCAGTAAGTTTGATCCTAGAGGAAAAAAATGTGTTTTTCTAGGTGTTTCTGCCACTAAAAAGGGGTAAATGTTTTGATCCTACAGCCAAAACAATGGTTGTTACAATGGATACCTTCTTTGTGGAAGAACAACCTTTTTTTTATTCTCATCTTCAGGAGGAGAAATTAAGTGAAGATGTTCCCATAGTGCCACATATTCATGAAAACCTTAATTTTCTTGATATTAATGTGGATGATCATACGTTTAGAAATAACAGTACATCTGAAAATGATCAAGAAATGAAAAATAATGAAGTAAATACAACTGAACCAATTGAAAAGGATCAGAGAATAGAGGAAGTCCAAGAACATACAACTGTCCATGATTCTAACTCAATACCAGGAAGTAAAAAAGGTAATACTCCTAGCAACCTTGACCTTCCAATTGCTCTCAGAAAAGAGAGAAGAACATGTGTTAAATACCCCATCTCAAACTATGTTTCTTATTCTAAATTAACCCCAGCTTTTGCAGCCTTTACTTCCAATATTTCTTCTATTTCTATTCCCTCAACCATACAAGATGCTTTATCTACACCTGAGTGGAAGAAAGCTGTTTTGGAGGACATGGAGGCTGTTGAAAAGAATCAGACATGGAAGCTTGTAGAGTTACCTAAAAACAAACCTATAGTTGGTTGCAGGTGGATTTTCACTCCCAAGTTTAAGGCAGATGGAGGTTTGGAGAGGTATAAGGCAAGACTAGTTGCCAAGGGTTACACAAAGACCTATGGAATTGACTACACAGAAACCTTTGCACCAATTGCCAAGGGTTAAACACCATAAGAATTCTTTTATCTCTTGCTGCCAATTTAGACTGGTCATTACAACAACGGGATGTGAAGAATGCTTTTTTAAATGGGAAACTTGAAGAAGAAGTGTACATGGAACCTCCTCCTGGGTTTAAAAATAAGTTTGGGTCAAAAGTTTGCAGATTAGAGAAGGCTTTGTATGGACTTAAACAGTCTCCAAGAGCCAGGTTTGACAGGTTCACAAAGTTCATAAAGAAGCAAGGATTTAATCAAGCTCAAGCTGACCATACTTTATTCATGAAGTTTTCATGTAAGGGGGAGATTGCAATCTTAATTGTCTATGTAGATGATATTATCCTCATAGGAAATTATCACACAGAGACTAAAAGGTTGAAAGACAAACTTGCTCATGAATTCGAGATCAAAGACCTAGGAAATTTAAAAAAAATCTAGGAATGGAGATAGCTAGATCAAAGAAGGGTATTGTTGTCTCACAAAGAAAATATATCCTAGATCTTCTACAGGAAAAACTGGAATGAGTGCCTGCAAACCAGCAGACACTCCAATTGACCCAAGTCAGAAATTGGGAGATATCAAGGAGGGAATTTCAGTTGATATTTACCAATATCAAAGATTGGTGGGAAAATTAATATATCTGGCACACACAAGGCCAGATATTGCATTTGCAATAAGTATGGTGAGTCAGTTTATGCATCATCCTCTCCAAGAACATCTGGATGCTACTTACAGCATTCTGAGATACCTGAAGAGCTGTCCAAGGAAGGGATTGTTTTTCAAAAAAAGGAGACAGTAAGACAATTGAAGCTTTCACTAATGCAGATTATGCTGGCTCAATATCTGATAGGAGATCTACTTCTGGATACTGTACCTATGTATGGGGAAATCTAGTAACCTGGAGAAGTAAGAAACAAAATGCGGTTGCTAGAAGTAGTGCAGAATCAGAATTCAGAGCTATGGCTAATGGAATATGTGAATTACTCTGGATCAAAAGAGTAATCACAGAACTGAAGATGGAGATTGAGCTGCCTATGAAGTTGTATTTTGATAATAAAGCTGTTATAAGCATTGCTCATAACTCTGTGCTACATGATAGAACTAAGCATATTGAAGTGGACAGACATTTCATTAAGGAGAAGATTGAAGCCGGAATCATTTGCACACCATTTGTATCCACTAAAGATCAAACAGTTGATATCTTCACCAAAGGGTTATTTAGACCTATATTTGAGCTACTTGTGAGCAAGTTGGGAATGTATGATATATATTCACCAACATGAGGGGGGGTTATTTTTTCTGATTAAATTGATGTACATATTTTGATCGGGACTGGGATTTTGGGAGTGCGAGACCACTCGAAGAGTCTCACCCCTTCTTCTTTCCGTTGTTTTCTGTTTTCCTTCATTAATCTTCATTAATATACTACGAATATCTACTGTGATTGTTCTGTTACCTATCAAATTCAGGCAAAAGAAAATAAAAGGCTGGAAATTACCCATTGTGTCCTCCATGTCCACCCTTAGGCAATAACCTCGACTTTGCAAAAGGTAAATCCATGTCATCAAAAATCTGTAAGGGATGACTAGATCCAATTACACAAAAATACTACGTAGTATAAATCTTTAATCTTACATTTAGGAAAATACTTTACCACAAGAACTTGCTTCAAAGGAATCTTGTAATATGAAACAATTGCTCCAACCTATTCATAGTAACCCAAAATATTAAAAACAAAATAAATAATCTCTATAACACCATGTGAAAAGGAGGAGAGTAATGAAAACATAGGTGTAGTAGATTGAACTTACAGACTCACCGCTTAAATTCATAAAAGTCTGAGGCTTAGCGAGTATAACCGGAACGTCTCCAATAAAGCCTAGAAAAACATAACAAACCAAAACGGTTTCAAGATATGCATTAGAACACTAACTCTTATGTTCCTAAACTTCTTAAATATTTTGGTAGGTGACAAAAATGATTTCATAATAATAAAAACCTAACCAATTTACATTGTCTTTCTCAGATGTCAATTATTTATACTGCCATGGAGAATGGCTAAGATGGAAGTAATACTAGTTTTCTATTGTGGATCATCTGATCATCTCCAGGAATCCAAGTAATTAACTATAACGATAGCAGAGCATGTAACGATCCATTATTCAAATTGACATCGGATAATGAAAAGAATGCTGAATGAAAAAAGGAACAGGTCGGGAGTAACCTTTTCCAAAGAGGGCTTTAAAAGAAACACTACTCATTGATATGCCTTCTGCTTCAGCTATTGTATCCACCATCTCAAAACCAACCTGGATCAATCAAAGAGTAACATTACTGATCCAAGTCAGTTCCCGATTTATAGTTCGAGGATGGGAAAGTTCTGCGTTACCAACATTATGGCGAGTGCCACTGAACCGTTTTCCAGGATTTCCGAGGCCGACTATAAGCCAAGGCTGTGAATTCGGGTTCCGCTTCTCCAGATTGGACTCCGATAATGGACCCCCCGCCGAGGTAGACGTAGGCTTACAGTTCAACCTCCTTGAGTATGAGTATGAAGATAAAATTAGGGATTTGAGGCGGGAGGGGAAGAAGAGGCGGCGGCGGCAGAAGAGGAGAAGGGCGGTCGATGTTGATGCGGCGACAGCTAAATGCATTTTCTGATGTAGTGCCCAAAACCAGAGTCGCGCATTACGGAGTCTTCAAAGACAAGCTGATGAAGACGGTGAAAGATACGGCGTCGTTTTGCTTTTTATAGAGCAAAAATACAAGCCTGGAATTTTTGTGTTATTTTTTCCTTTTTATTATGAAAATTTTGAGTTAGTTCCATAGGACTAAAACAATGAACATTGTGTACACTTTTCGTACACTCTGTGTGTCTCACAAACATAGAATTGTTTGCTCAAAAAGTGTATGATGGAGTATATGGGTCCAGACCCCATGACCCACATACTCTTACTACTCCAAGTAGGACCCCGGGGATGTACGTCCTTTAGCACAGGGGAAATCCCGGGGACGTACGGCCTCCAACTACATGCAAGATCCCAGGGACGTACGGCCTCAAGCACATGGCAAGACCCCGGGGACGTACGGCCTCAACCACATTGGAAGACCCCGGGGACGTACGGCCTCCACCACGTAACAGTCACTCGTGGACGTACGGCCTCAACAACATAGGAAGGCCTCGGGGACGTACGTCCTCCAGCACATAACAGTCATCCGGGGACGAACGTCCTCCAGCACTCCAAGTGCCAGACGTACGTCTCCAAGAACTTCGTCTGCCATAGCCAGACGTACGTCTTCAAGGACTTCGTCTGCCACAGCCAGACGTACGTCTCCAGGGACTTCGTCTGCCACAGCCAGACGTACATCTCCAGGGACTTCGTCTGCCACTGCCAGACGTACGTCTCCAGGGACTTCGTCTGCCAATGCCAGACGTACGTCTCCAAGGACTTACATACTTAGCTCATGTATCCAAATGTAATCAGCCCAATAGAGGCCTTATATTGTAATGGGCCTCCCAAGCCCAAGACTTGGGAGCCCATCCCGCTTTTCCCTATAAATACTCCCCTTGGGAGTAGTTGTAAGGGTTCGAAACTCATTTAATACAAATCACTTCTCTCTCTAGCTCTCACTTCTCTCTAAGAGGTTATAATCTATCATTTGGTGCCCGAGGGAAGCGTGGACTCATGGCAAGATCTTACCCAACGCTTCCTCACCCACTTCGCCGGAAGGAAACGCGTGAAGAAACATTTCTCCCATCTCCTCTCCGTCAAACAGCAACACGATGAATCACTCCGGTCTTTCATCAACCAATGGATGAAGGAGACAGACGAGGTTGAAGGTGGCGTTGAGCGCACCCTCCTCGTCCTCTTCCAAGGCATTCTCCGCAACAGCCCCTACGCACGGAGCCTCATCACTTACCCGCCGAGGTCATACACGAAGGCACTCCAGCGAGGGAGCTTGTACGCTGGCGCCAATGAGCTCCACTCCAGCAAGAAGGATGGAGGCCAGACATCAAGGAAGACAAACAATGTGCTGGCTCCAAGCGCATCCTCGACCGAAGGCCATGCCCGCCAGAGACGGAAAGAGCGCACATGGCAGTCGAGGACGGACGTCCCAAGGACTCCAGTCACACATTCGGTGGATACCATCCTTGACTGTGCGGAGGAGCAAGGTCTCATCTCCAAAGATCCCCGGTCGGCCAAGGAAATATACGCCGTCCACCAGGGCGGCACTTATTATCGTTACCACAAGAACACCTCCCACGATATGGATGATTGAGTCGCGGTGAAGAAAGCTATAGAGCGCTTGATTCAACGGGTGAACTCCCCCAATTTGTCAAAGGTACCCCAAAGAACTCCACCGGCAATCGAGAAGGGGACACCTCGACGAAGAAGCATGAAATCGGGAGGCTCAGTGACGATGAAGACTTCGAGGAGCCCCAGTCGAAGAAGCGTCACATCCGCTGACTGTCTTTCTCCGAAGGGACGCACGTCCAATGACTGAGCCAACAACTCGACGGACGGCTGAGCTAGCAAGCCGACGGACGGCTGGTCCAGCAAGCCGACGGACGACTTATCCCTCAAAATACGAAGGGCCTTACATCTCGGTGAAGTTCTGTCAGCAATCTGAAGACGGTGCACACGACAGAGCCCCCCACCCCAAGGTAAGAAGCTCATTGAGAAGCTAACTCCTATAAGGGTTGTTGAGAAGGTTACAACCCTCGACCTTGAGCCATTGACCTTAATAAAAGTCGTTGCCATGAACAACGCACCTATTGTGTTCCGCTTATTTCTTGTAAAGTTTAAGTAAAGGATGCCACACGACAAAGCACATCACATCGACCCCTTCAAGCGAAACACTCAGGTATGGCCAACGACGCCACACAACAAAGCGCGTCGCATCGGCCCCTTCAAGCGAAACGCTCAGGTATGGCCAATGACGCCACACAACAAAGAACGTCGCTTCGGCCCCTTAGAGCGAAATGCTCATGTATGGCCGACGATGTCCCAGAACGAGGGACCTGCAAAATGGCCCGCGTCTTGAAACGGGAAGCTCACTGTGTCGTCCTTGCTCTAAATCACACGGCGACAGGCCTGAAAGAATGGCCGAAGTAACAAAATCCTCACACTTAGGGTTGGGAAACGGCAGCCGTCGATAACCGGTCAAAAGCCTAGCCCGCGCCGTAAATAGACGACGAGACCCCCCAAGATCAAGGGACGATCCAGCGCCAGAGGCCGGACAGCTGCCCTCCTGGACTCCCTATCAGCCGAGGAAATAACAACCCCCTGGGTCGAGCCTGAAAGAAAGACCCCCACTCCACGCTCAAAGCAGTAGAGGAAGAAATAAAAGAGGGAAAGCCGAAGGACCATGCACTCGTCGGCCTCGGTGAAATCCCCACAAATAAAAGAGGGACAGCCGAAGGACCGCGCACTAGCCGATCTCGAGCGAAATCCCCACAAATAAAAGAGGGACAGTCGAAGGACCTAGCACTCGCCGGCCTCGAGCAATAAAAATAAAATCCCCACAAATCAAGCCACATATTTAGCTAAGTACATATCAGGCAAACACCACGCGTTATGGACGAATCAAGACCATACATGCGGATCAGAACGAGCATCCCCAATGCCATCCAACTTCAGGCCAGCATAAAAGCCTGGTCCTTCACATGACGTACGACTTCATCGACGCCATCGTCATCAAGGGACGCGTGTCCAACGCCTCCCCTCATCTTCAAACCAGGGGCAAAGCCCGGACCTCACGTGATGTACGGCTTCATCGACGCCGTCGTTATCAAGGGACGTACATCTAGTGTCGTCCTTCATCTTCGAAACTAGGGTGAAAACCTGGTCCTTCATGGGACGAACGACTTCATCAAAAAAGATCCCAAGATAAACGAGTTTCAAAAATGAAAAAGGACTACGACGGTTCCTCAGACATGTGATCCACTGTCGGCGAAAATGACAAGGACACCACGGACGTCCACTTTCGGCCAAAGTTAAAGGCACAAAGGACATTTATCATCCTCAAAAACCATGAACGCACAATGCCCATTGACCTTAAAATAAGGGCGTTCCTCGTCCTCAAAATGAAGGATGTTCCTCGTCCTCAAGATGAAGGACATTTATCGTCCTCAAAATAAGGACGTTACTCGTCCTCAAAATGAAGACGCCCCTCGTCCTCAAAATGAAGGACGCCCCTCGTCCTCAAAATGAAGGACATCCATCGTCCTCGAGATGAAGGACACTCATCGTCCTCGAAATGAAGGACAAAAGGCAGCCAACAATTATGGCACCACCTCGGCCTCAAAGTGAAGGACGTTCCTGACGGTTCAACTATGGCACCGCCTCGACCAGAAATGCCAGAGCTCCTAGGTAACCCTCCGAAGGCCAAAAGCATCAAGACAACAAGGATATACTCCTTCCACTTCGTCTGTGTCTTAACTCAGAGAGATGGGGACTCCTGATGGAGTATATGGGTCCAGACCCCATGACCCACATACTCCCACTACTGCAAGTAAGACCCCGAGGACGTACGTCCTTTAGCACAAGGGAAACCCCGGGGACGTATGGCCTCCAGCTACATGCAAGACCCCAGGGAACCTCAAGCACATGGCAAGACCTCAGGGACGTACGACCTCAACCACATGGGAAGACCGCGGGACGTACATCCTCCAGCACGTAACAGTCACCCAGAGACGTACGGCCTCAACAACATAGGAAGGCCCCGGGGACGTACGTCCTCCAGCACGTAACAGTCACCCGAGGACGAACGGCCTCCAGCACTCCAACATCCAGACGTACGTCTCCAAGGACTTCGTCTGCCACAGCCGGACGTACGCCTCCAAGGACTTCGTCTGCCACAGCCAGATGTACGTCTCCAGGGACTTCGTCTGCCACAGCCAAACGTACGTCTCGAGGGACATCGTCTGCCACAGCCAGATGTACGTCTCCAAGGACTTCGTCTGCCACGACCAGACGTACGTCTCTAAGGACTTACATACTTAGCTCATGTATCCGAATGTAACCAGTCTAATAGAGGCCTTATATTGTAATGGGCCTCCCTAGCCCAAGACTTGGGAGCCCAGCACGCTTTTCCCTATGAATACTCCCCTTGGGAGTAGTTGTAAGGGTTCGAAACTCATTTAATACAAATCACCTCTCTCTTTAGCTCTCACTTCTCTCTAAGAGGTTATAATCTACCAGTGTACATCAAGCATTTCCGAACAATGAAAAGTACATAGTACTTTTTGAGCTCGTTTGGTGACACTTTTATTAGGCTTATCAGCCAACTTTTTCACTAGACGCGTACATTTTGATTTGTGCGCTAAAATGTGTAATCATAAGAAAAAGTAAGGTTGGAGTTACTTTTCTGGCTGTTTCGACTGAAGCTACTGCAGAGGACCTTTTTAGCTATTTTACATATAATTTTTTTTGTTTTATTAATAAAATATAATTTAAATTTAATTTTCCCATAAATCAGCAAAATGAACCAATACAGCCGCTTAAGCCAGAACTTCATAAATTTCAGCAATATCAGTTGATTTCGGCGTTACCAAACGGGCTCTTTATATATTGTAGGACTAAAAGAGTACACCGTAGTAGTTTGAAAAACCTATTGTTACTGAATTTTTATATATGTGTACAAGGAAAATTGCACTTTTAATCACTCAAATAGTACCAATATTGAAATGTAATCCTTGTGTTCACAAGTTTGTAAATGACATCCC